AATTTGTAGATTTTTCCCTCAAAGAATATAGCCAACGTCTCTATACTGAATCCATTTTTATTTCCATACCTGTATACCAAACAACTGAGCGACCTGTAAGTCTGATCACGTCCAGCCATGCGCTTGGAGAACGAAGCTTTTAATTTCAATATGACAGCATTATAAATATTATTTATCATTACATTATTTGAATAATATTAGTCACGACGTTTTTGCTCCACGAAGGGATAGGCTAGGTTTGAATATTAATTGCTCACGTGTAATAGTATATGTATATAAAATGAATATGCTGCAATCCAACTCTGTATGAATATTTCTAGATTCCATACGAAGAAATTCTTGAGCTTTCAATTCGATGGTGATTAGTGGTTATTTCTTAGTTGTAAAAAAAGACTCTTAAACTTCTCTCTGCCCTATCTCGAGTTACTTAATAGGGGTCTTTGCGATGCGTCGCTCTGTGTCTCTTTTTCTTTTCATATAATTTATCAGACGATCTCGTATTTCTTTTATCATTCTCTTCCGTTCCACTTATCTCCATCTTAATTCGGAACTGACTTTGTTACAACTAACTTTCATTTCTTCTAATAACAGAAAACAAATATATTTGTATTTTTCCGTAACAGTTACTAACTTTCATACTTCTTCTAAAACATTCATTACTACCTTAGTTCGATCTCATCATTGAAAATCTCGTATTTGTTCTAAGGCTGATTTTTCAATAGTCAGATAAATGTTATCTGAGGAATAAAATTGTTGCTGTCACTGTCTTATACAAACATTCTGATGCGACAGCGTCATAAATTATTCTCCAACTTTTATATAACCATTGAAAAGACAGCCCTTAATCAAAATAAAACTATCATTAGAATTAATCTAATTCAACCCACTTGTATAATAACTAAATATATCTTCCTTCAGTGGTTCGTGTCTGTTGCATACAATTTTAAATTTACAAACAATAACAAAATAAAAATCATCTAATTAATTTCGTATCGATCAGTATCTAATGCGGTCTCCTTAACAACAATTCATACCGATTGGATCATTCGATGCGCGTCGCTAGCTACAAATAATCGAGTCATTGATTCCATCTGTCTTTCGAGATATTATTTTAAGATGTTCTTTGTTCTTACAAATTACTCTTGTTTAAATTGTCGTGTCGTGTTTAATTTAACTTGTCTATACTAATATTATAAAGAGGTAAAGTTTGTATGTTTGTAAATTTGTATGTAGGGGGTAATCTTTGGAACCGCTGGTCGGATTTCCAAAATTCTTTCATTGATAGATAGCTACAATGTTCCTGAGTGCTATAGGCTATAAAACATCACGCTACGATCTCTAAGAGCCGAGCAGCGGGTGAAACCGCGCGGGTGTAGCTAGTATTGTATAAGTATGTAAGATATACTTTGTTTTTTAGAAAGAGCAATTCGTTACAAGACCTCTTTGGCATACCTTTTTCTTGGCTCATTTCCTCATTAGTTTTAGGGTCAACCGCAATTTTTTTGTCAGTTATGGAGAAACTGCCATTTTGATCTTCTTTAACCGCTGATGGTGATGTTGTATTATTGGTTATACAGATATGATTTTACTTTACTAACTCGTCTTTGCTTCGTTTGTGTGAAATAAATGGATTATCTTCCTTTCTTTCTTTTTTCTGTCTTGTTATGTTGCGTAACCTCTAAGTCAAAACAAAATGTTCTACATAAAACACTTACTCGGTCTGTATGTAATGAGTACAAGGTCCTTGGTTTGACCTCCCGGGTCTAGCAAAGTACAAGTACTGCTAATGTTGGATTCTGAAATTCTTAAAAGCAAGTACTTACCGATAGTTTCGGTTACGGTTACGGACAACCCTTTTTTTTGTCAGGGGAAAATCATCATATGACTTCTCCCGCTCAGTTTAAGGCGAGAGAGTGTCAGACCATTACTGACTAAACCCCCCCGTTACTACTCCTTTTGTAGGCCGAGGCCGCGGTGCGACATTGCGCTTACCCCGCAGCCCCGGCTGAACATCAGCCCTGTAGCACCCTGTCTGTGGTGGTCTATTAGCTCTTTGAGGCGCGCGCGGAACGCTACGCGCCGTACGCTCGGGTCTGGTTCTGGTCGGGCGGCGAGCTACCCTTACTCGCCGTCCGCTGACCCGTACTTACGGTGGCTGGAGATCATCTCTTGACGGAGCTCCCTAACATACGTGAAATGGTGCAGTTCATTTCTTCTGGTCTGGAAAAATGGATAGCTCGACGCATAAAGGTTTTCGAAAGAATTTAGAACTTCATAATAGATGGAATGGGACTCCCATGATATCCGAATGAATCAACCAAATTGGATACTTATTATTTTTTGTCGTACCTAACAGTTAATGTTAGGTTTAAGTGTGGGAGAGCCAAGCTTCGGTACGAATGGGTCGGCTCGACCGGAGCGATACCACGGCCTCACAGACTACCAACGTGAAACAACCACAGCGTTGTGTTTCACCATGTGAGTGAGGTTACCGGAGGCCCAATCCTTCCCCTCCCCCGATCCCTCCCAATCCCTAAATCTCCAAATCCCTAATCCCTAAAACGTCGGCAACGCACTCGTATCTCCTCCGTTGCGAGTGCCTATGGGCGGCGCTGATTATTTACCATCAGGTAATCCGTCTTCTCGTTTGCCGACCTATTACATAAAAAAGTGAAGGAAAACATATCGATACTACTGGGAACATCGAGTGAGTGGAACGGGTAGCTAGTTTTGATTGTTAACTTTTGCAACAAATCATTTGGCATTTGACAAGTTTCCGATGTAACAGAGTTGTTAACATTATGTTATTTTTGAAGGCGTGAAGATCATGTTATGTTATCTTAAGCGTTTCGTAAAAGAAGTTTGGTTGGTACACAAATGTTGTCAATTTCGTCAAGCGTCGTTGTGTAAGATATTTGTTCAAATTGTGCGTGTTGTAAAATAGTGTCTTTTTAAGTGTCAACCGTCAACCGTGTATTTTACAGAATTGGCGTTGTTTTCAAGGTCTAAGTTATTTTTATTTACACAAATTGGTAATTTCACTGGCCTTGAACCTTGCAACGAACTGAGGTCACTTACCTATCCTAATACTAGCTACTCTCGCGCGGTTTCAGTCGCTGTTCGCCTTCTACAGATAATAGCGTGATGTTTTATAGCCTATAGCCTTCCTCGATAAATGGACTAACAAACACAAAAAGATTTGTTCAATTTGAACCAGTAGTTTCGGAGATTAGTGCGTTCAAACAAACAAACTCTTCAGCTTTATAATATTAGTATAGATAAAAATAAATAGTATAGACTACAAAGAGGTAAAATTTGTAAGTTCGTATGTAGGACGTTATCGCTAAAACCTATAGGCAAATAGCTAAGAACAATGTTCCTGAGTGCTTATAGGCTATCAATTGGGTAGTTTCCTAGGTCAAAAATAAATTAGGTAATTCGACGCTTCAATACTATAAAATATTGAAAAATAACTATACTTTCATTCATCGATCGATCGATACACTAGATTTTAGATATTTTTTATCTAATTTTTAAGAAATAAGTAAGCTATTTGACATGAAAATACTATGACGTCATAACTCAGTGTTTCATACAAATTTCATAGAAAAGTATCGTTTTTGACATTTGGATAAAAGTATTGAATTTGACTAGTTGGAAACTACCGTGTTATACTTATTAGTATCGCTTTAAAAGCTGCTGTTTTTAAAATCCCTGGATACAATACTCTTTTCTATTAAATCTACTTAGTTGAAATAAATAATAATTAAATAAATATATTTTGGAGATCTGTAAAACTATAAAAAAACGTGATTCTGATGTAATTAAATAATATTACTTACACAGAAACGCGAGTATTATTTTTAGACCCGTTTTTTTCTGTTATTTACTTGTTTATCAACATTTTGTGTTAATTGTATCGGTGGATATTAAAATACCAGAATACAAATTGATCATTGACCTTTAAAAATGTACTTGGTAACTATAAAGGACATGTGATCAGGTCAAAATAAAATAAATCGTTTATTATATTAAACTAACTTGTCAAGTCAAAAATCGCAACAAGTTATAAAATTAAAGTTATAAAATACTAGCTTCCGCCCGCGGCTTCGCCCGCGTAGTCGTAAGTGGTAGACTTAAAACAAGTAGAAGTAGTATAGTACTTTTTCGGTTTATTCACGTAAGACGTTATTTTCGTAAATAAAAAATAATACCTATTACAAATTTTAACACAGTTTTGCTAACCCTTTTGTGATAAACCTAAACATATTATTCTAATTCCATTTTTTTTCTTCTCCTCAAATAATATCTTCTGATTTTTTTCATTGCGGGATCCAAGACCAGTCATTCATGTCCCTGGGACGCTCCGGACTTGATATGTTACCTGTATAGTTTATACCTACCATTCTTACAACACAATTTACAATGTCTGAAAAAAAAGAAAAAATGTCGGCAAATAAAAATAAAAAATCGCGGTTCGATCGATCCATTGATAGATAGAAAAACTTCGATGTTTTTTTTATCGATATTTACGTATCAAAACGTAAATACGTCGTTATAATCTTTTCCTATTTCCTATATCTGTGCGAAAATTCTCAATATGATAATTATTATGACCTTGAATGATAATATCTAGAATGAGGCGAGAATTTGTTTGAATGAAGCATGGTTTGCCGTTGGCGGCATTCGCGCGTTTTGGCAGCCATGTTTTTTGTTTTTTTTTTAGGGTTGTCTATTGGTATTCGTCCTGTTTAAAAAAAGAATGGTAGAGCCTGCCTTAATTAGTTCCTATTTTAGAAATATTTGTGTTTTTTTTTTCAGGTTAGTGTGTTTATAATATTGTGTAAGATTCAAATTACGAAGTTAGGTTAAAAGTATTACAATGCTAACAATTATGATTTTTACCCTAAATGTTTATTGAAGTGTAACCTGTCGTAGGTAATAGTAGGTATGTTGTTCTGTCATTAATTAACTCACCTATTCCTCTCTCTTTTTTACAGATATGGCAATGAGCGGGACGAAGCTATCCAAATGTCACAAAAATTTCAACCGCCGACCCGCTGTCTTGTGTACAATGTGATTAACGAAAATTAAGTTAAAATTTAACTGAAATCTGTAAATGTAAGTGTGAAATAGTGTTTATAAGTGTAAAAAAACGCATTCCGTTCATATTTCGTGCTCAAAATCGTGTAAAAAATTCTAGTGCTGTGCTCAAAACATCCAGTTCCTTGAAAATGGCTAGTGACTTAAAATACGTCCATTATTGCATACAGTGAATTGAATAAGTGCTCTCTTAGTGCGAAATAGTGTTTTCAAATTAGTTTTCTACTAATAATGCTAGTAAGAAATTGGCGCGTGTGAATAGTGATACCAACGCCATCTATTGTGCAATGGATTAAGTGGTTTTTCGTGAAGGTGTGTGTACAACGCCATCTATTATTGAGAAGCGGCAATGTTTAGTACCTGATTTTGCCATGGAGGCCGGTTTCATACCGGTTAGTGCCGGCAATGGCGGTAGTGCGCCACAGGTTAACTCAGTGGTGGCGCCACCGGCGAATGTAATTCGCGCGCCGGGTTTGAAGCGCGGAAAAATGGAAGAAGCTATATCGGATCGGGTAAGTTATACATTTTTATCATTTAATTATAATAGGGTAGTCTCCAACTGGTCAAATTCAATACGTAAAAAGTATTGAATTTGACCAGTTGGAGACTACCCAAATGACAAAAACGATACTTTTCTATGAAATTTTTATAAAAATTGCATATATATTAGGGCGCCATAGTATTTTTGCGTCGAATAGCTTACTTATTTCTTAAAAATTAGCTTAAAAATATGGAAAATTTAGTGTATCGACAGATCGATAAATAAAAGTATAGTTCGTTTCCGTTCACGGGATCACAGGATCCCGGACTTTTGGAAGGCGTACGAGGGGCCGAAGCTAACTCGCAGAGGCCCGTTGAAAAACTTTAATATAACTATAAAGTATAGTTATTTTTAATTATTTTATTGTATTAAAACGTCGAATTAATTTGTTTTTGACCTAGGAAACTACCCTAATATATTCTAAAGATTATCGAGAACAAAGTACATATTCTTCACATAAATGAGGTTATAGGTATTTTTGAGCATAAAAACTTTTTTTGTCACGGAGTACCAGACTGTTCTAAAAATGGCTTATTTAAACAGTTAGCGATTCGTGCCCGGAATACTTATGCCAAACTTAATAAAGCAGGCTTGTCTTCTATGTCAATATTATGGATATGGACATACAAATCTTTATATTCTGTAACAACCTATATGTAAGAAAATAGACCTATAGGTACTATAGGTATATTTTCTTACATATAGGTTGTTAACTAAAGGTAAACAATGTTGGTACTTATGTATTTTTATATTAAAGAGCTCGTATAAAATACATACAGAGATTATTTAAATTTAGTTTATTAGCTAACACCGATTTAAGTGAATACCTGATTGTAAATATTTGTAAGTAAGTGTGGGACAAGCCATGCTTCGGCACGAATGGGTCGGCTCGACCGGAGTGATACCACGGCCTCACAGAAAACCGGCGTCAAACAACCACAGCGTTGTGTTTCGCCGTGATTGTCGAAACTCTAAAAATTTTTCATCCATATAAAAAAACTAGCTACTCTCGCGGTGCTTCCACCGCTGCTCGGCTCCATTTGATCGTAACGTGATATTATATATATAGCCTAAAGCACTCAGAAACATTGTAGCTATCTATCAGTGAAACAATTTTGGCAATCCGACCAGCGGTTCCAAATATTACCCCCTACATACAAACTAAAATTTTTTTCCTCTTTATAATATTAGTATAGATAATTATTAAGTACTAAGTAAAGATTTTCACAAAAACAGTATAAAACAATCTCCTTTCTTAAACATTTCGCATTCGCATTCTTGTTTATTGGAATGCACCAGCTGTGATGTGCGGTCGGCATTGCTTGAAACGCGCTGAGCGAAAAATTGGCGGTTCGCTGCACCGCTTCGTGCTGCTGGTCGGAATTGCATTAAGAAGCGGGACGAGCAATCTGCATATCTTGATGAATTTTTTGTTCTTTACTTAAGACACTACTTTGATTGGTTAATCCCGTAAATAATATACCTAGCTTCTTCAAAGTAGTAGATTTTTCCTGTTTATGGTGTTGTATTTCTCATCTATATCACACTTAAAATAAAAAAGAATGAAAGCGTGGGAGAGCTATGCTTCAGCACGAATGTGTCGGCTCGACCGGAATGATACCACGGCCTCACAGGAAACCGGCGTGAAACAATCTCAGCGTTGTGTTTCGCCGTGTGAGTGAGATTACCGGAAGCCTAATCCTTCCCCCCCACCAATTCCTAAATCTCTAAACCCCAAATGGTCGGCAACACACTCGTTACTTCTGTTGAGGATGCCCATGGGCAGCGCTGATGGCTTACCATCAGGTAGTCGGTCTGCTCGTTTGCTGAACTATCAAGTAAAAAAATATTACTCAAGAGAAAAAATGTATTATTCATTTTTATTGAAAACTACCTACTCTCGCGCGGTTCCACCCGTTGCTCAGCTCCATTTGATCGTAGTGTGAGTGTGTATAGTCTATAGCACTCAGGAACGTTGTAGCTATCTATCAGTGAAAGAATTTTGGCAATCCGACCAGCGCTTCCAAAGATTACCCCCTACATACAAACTTACTAATGTTATCTCTTTATAATATTAGTATATATAACGACTTAATCATTTGAATGAATTGAGAAATGCCCTACTAGTTTCAAGTCATAACGGGACTCTTATTCATGAGCAACACAAATAGAACTTTTATTCTAAACTTGTAATTAAGTACTTAGTATGTTTCTCTAAGTTACTATAAAAAATATTTCATTTTATTTCTAATTACCAACTTATCTAAAAGACCTACATTCTTAATTAACGTAAGCCCGTCCGTCCCAAATAATCTCGTAATTTTTCCTGACTTTCATATTTTCTTCAAGATGTAGGTAGGCTCTTTGCCTTTGAGGGCCCTTGACCTCCTCAAAACAGTCTTGGATTGTCGCAAGTTGCTTTTACGTTTTCCCTCTTTTATTTCTCTGCCATTTCAAAATGTTTCCTTTAAAAATAATTACGACGTTTACTTTCTATCTATGTATAAAATTAAATATTATATGTATACATGACATAATGGTTTTTTGAATCGGAGAAAATCATCCAATGACTTCTCCCATCCCGGGGTGTGGCGAATGGGTGTTTCAAGTCCCATCTATACTAATTTATATCTATACTAGCTACTCTCGCGCGATTTCACCCGCTGCTCGGCTCCATTTAATCGTAGCGTGATGTTTTATAGCCTATTGCCCTCAGGAATATTGTAGTTATCTATCAGTGAAAGAATTTTGGCAATCCGACCAGCGGTTCCAAAGATTACTCCCTACATACAAACTTACAAATTATACCTCTTTATACGCTACGACCAAATGGAGCTGAGCAGCGGGTGAAACGGCGCGAAAGTCGCTAGTGTTTAATAAAAGAGCAAAAAGAATTGCATCCGCGCGAAGCCGGGTCGGGTCGCTAGTATATAAACGTCCATTCCTTTCCATATATGCAAAGGCTAATTGTATATTTGTATCCATTCACTCTAAAGCTATTCATTAAATTTTAAAACATACATCGGCTTGTCATTCATTTCCTAAGTGTTCTAATTACCATCATTTGGTTTTCAAATTTGGTCTGATGATTTCTTCGTCACACCGATCTTAGTAATGCAAAAAATCGAAGTCCAAGTTGTGTTTAACGTGCCGGGGTTTCGGGGTAATCGCAATGAGGCACCGCGACCTCGGCCCAGAGCAGGAGAAGGAACGGTGGGTTTTTAATCAGTAAGAGTCTGACACTCATTCCGCCCGGCCCTGGGCGGGAGAAGTCATTTGATGATTTTCCCCTCACAAAAATAAGTTGTGTTTAACGTAAGATTTGCTGTTATTTGGATTATAGTTTTACTGGTTTCGGTTAGCGACTATGCTCGCAGAACCAGATTAAAATACTGTAACTACTACTACCAGTGTCCGTGAGCGGCGATGATTGTTTACCATGAGGTGATTCCGTCAGAGGGGCTTGATACGCTGGCTCAAGACGTATCGGCAATTTCAAAATTATAGATCATTAGAAATTAAAAGTCCAGGTTACCGCACGACGTTTTCCTTCACCGTGTGTCAGTGGTGTCTAAATAATAGAAAGTACTTCCAAATAAGTCACATTGGTACTTGCCAGGTTTCCAAACCGTGCAGATTCTCCGGGCCACCACGACACCACAATTTTTTTATACTATAAGTTATTTTAATTTAAATTGTGTGTAATCGTAGCCAGAATAGGGTCTCATAAACTCGGTCGATGCCACTACCCCACTTCGAAAGGAAACGACATTAATTCTAAGAATTCTACTCACCTCCTGTTAATGTACCCATAGCGACATCTTTAATTCAAGAAGTATTTCTTACGTGTCGCTAATGTGTCGTCTATTTAAACACGGCAGGTTAATTACAAATTTTTATTCCTAATTACTTCCAAATATAGGTGTTAAAGAATTTGGTTAATTAGGTCTCTCGCAGTAGTTGTAAATAAATGTGTTTTGCGTAACGTGAACAGTGTTCATGTTTGGATCCATCTGATATGTTTTGTTGCATTAAGATCGCGTCAGCAGTTTTTGTGTTAAAAGTAACTTGAAAACGTCTTGAGTTATCTTTAAGCTAGAGGTATGGCGACACAATGGTTTTTAGGCAGTAAGAGCCTGGCACTCCCTCTCGTAGTGGGAGAAGCCATTTGATAACTTTCTCCACACAAAAAAATAATTAATTTCAGGCTGATTGCGACAAGGTAAATCAAATCAGCTCTCGTTAATGCATCTATAGTGTACAGACTAGGTGGTCTATACTTTTAACAGATGTTTCAACTATAGGCCCTGTATACATTTTATATTATTAGTACCTTTTTCTTGTGGATTAAGTCGGCAAACAAGCAGGCGAATTATCTTATGGTAAGCAATCGGCTACCCACGGACAATCGCAAAACTCCAAAGGAGACGAGTGCGTTGCCGGCCTTTTCGTAACAATCATCATCAGCCTATAAGTGCCCACTGCTGAGCAAAGGCCTCTTCTCATACGGAGAAGGTTAGAGCATTAATCACCACGCTTGCTCAATGCGGGTTGGCGATTTCAAACTTATAATTAGAAATTATAAGTCCAGGTTTCCTCACGGTGTTTTCCTTCACCGTATGTCAGTGGTGTCTAAATAATCATAGAAAGTATATATTCTTACTTACTTTACTTTTCGTAACAAGGGTTTCGGATATTTAAGGATTGGTGAGGAATCGGAGGAGGGACTTAACCTCCCGTAACCTCACTCACATAGCTAAACACAACGCTATGGTTGTTTCACGCCGGTTTTTTGTGAGGCTGTGGTATCACTCCGGTCGAGCCGACCCATTCGTGCCGAACTTGGCTTGCGCATACTTTATTTGAGGTTCACGTAGCCTGCCATACTTACACGACTGAATTAATTTGAAGCGTTTATTAAAATCACACTCCTTGCATAGCGAAGCCAATTTAATAATTAATATTTCCATT